CTGGCTGCTGGCTACACACGGTAGCCCATGGCAACCCACTGCAGCAGGGGCTGCAGCCTATGCCGTCTCCGGCGACTCACGGCAGCCCAGCTCCAGGTTGAGCTGTTGTTCAGCATCTCAGCTGTGGAGGACAGTGTCACTGGCCCTCATATGTGGGATCCGAACCGGGGCCCTCTGGCATCCCAAGCCAGCTCTTAACCATTGCACCACTCGGCCGGCCCTAGTTAAAGTTTTTTAAAAGTATATAAATACACATGTAAATATATATGTGCACACATACCATACCAGTGAGGATGAACAGGATGCCAAATAGTCATCGTCTGTACAGTTCAGCTTCTCTGGACTTGAACTCTTATGCCATTGTCCTTCTCGTGTCTTTCTGGTCCTTTCGCTCGTGCCACCGGGCAGCACGCAGGATGCCGGGCCTGAGTGCACGGGATGCTGTCACTGGCTCTTGCTTCTTGCGATACCTTCTGATCCGAATGTGGCCGTTGCTTTACGGCATTTGAGGATTGCGTTCTCTGAGTTCCTTTTTCTCTGTGACTCGTTTTCACTCCCTGTTGGTTGTAAGAAACCGTGCCCCCATCTCCTGCACAGCACAGGCTCCTACAGTGATGCCCCCATGGGTTTCTGTAAGGCTGACGTTCGCCTCCTATAAATAGTTCTGCAATTAAATTTTTTGACGAAAGTAATGTTTACTTTTGATTGGAGTGAATTCTCATGTTATTTTAAACTCAGAAAAACTAGGGGCCAGCCGAGAGGCTCAGTTGGTTAAGAGCGCGAGCTCTGAGCAACAGGGTCGCTGGTTCGATTCCCACATGGACCACTGAGCTGCGCCCGAGCTGAGCTGCCAACAGGTGACAGGATGGCTCAGCTGGTGAGAGCACGTGCTCCTAATAACAAGGTTGCCAGTTCCATGGTGGGCTATGCTCACCCGCAACTAGATTGAAAGTGGCGACTGGACTTGGAGCTGTGCTAGCTGCACCCTCCACAACTAAGATTGAAAGACAACAACTTGTTTGTTCCCCTTCCCCAATTCCCCAATAAAATCTTCAAAAAAAAAAAAACTCAGAAAAACTATACACATCAAAGAGTTTTATCCAGAAAACAAGGGCACCCTTCCTCCATTATATATTCCATTGTTGAAATAGCCTCGATATCGCTATCTACTAAGAATAAATGGATATTTATTAAGGCTGCACTTCCATATGTATGTGCAAATGGCGCAGATTAAAATGAGCATAAACTTAATAAATACTGTGGTATTTAGCTGACAGTTATTCTAGGC